TACAGAACTCTGCTGATTAAGGCATTCATCTTATGTCTTTGAGACTCATTCACGCGCAGTACAAATGTTGTTCTTTTCGTTACGTACCGACACTTTCTTCGGGCTTAAAATCTCGACAAGGAAAAGAAACCCTTTGTCTTCCTTCAAGAAGCTCAGCTTATCTTTGTCGGTGATGCTCACCGTGTTTTTCAGTTGATTCTCTGCCGTTTCGCAGCCGACTTCAATTTTCTAAATTATGACCAGTGAAAATGACGATATGTTTGAAACACGACACGCGTTCTTTTTCACGGTACCTTTTCAGTAACCAAGGCGACGATGTTGATTACTGCCAAATTGTCTTTGGTGAACTTCAACGCGTAACTCTGTTTCGACATATCTCGTAGGGGTGCCTTTGTGAATGCCGCAACGACCACCATTTCTGGCTGCAACGCCTTATCCACCTGACTTTCGATGATTTTGCCGATCGGCTAAAAGACGCGTTAATTTAAAACCAAAGAGCAACGAAACACAACCGTCGCTCTGTAGGTCGGGCTGTGAGTGTGAGGACTTACTCTGTGTATCTCTAGTGGGGAAAGTGTTTGTGGCGCACAGTCTGAAACAGTAACGCAATTATCATCGAAATATTCGTGCTGAATCTGATTACATACTTAAACTGATGTCAGATTTTGAATTGAATGTCCGGGTGCAGGACTTATGGTCATTATTTCCTCAAGCTGAATCTTCACTGAAGAAAATATTCTGTTGTTTATTTTCTTTAAAACTATTGCTTGAATTTTTTTAAGGGTGGAATATTCTTCTTTGGCCAAATCTTCAATGGATTTACTTCACACATAAATTTTATTAAATCAACTACCGGCGTAACAACTCAAATGAAATGCCACTAAACCGTTAAATGCCTAATAAATGAGCGAGCGCACTACTTGTGTTGCGACAGTGAAACTTGAATCTAAGGCATGATCATGACCTACTGGAAAGAATTGAATACCAAAAAGGCTCACCCGGAATATATCCACATATAGAACCAGATAAAAACTGGATTTACCACCTGGGCGTCCTACTCTCCGAGTCTGTCACAACTTCTATCAGGCGGCTTATGAACTCATGCAATATGAGGGTTGCAGCCAAATTTCAAAGGAAGCAAAGATCACTACCGACGAAAGTAAAAGACTGGATAGCCGCCCTTGCCCCTTGAAGACGCAGTGGATATGGTATAATAGATTCAGTTCTTTGGTTTGCATGCTACGATACATTGGCCAAACATCACGACCACTGACAATCAAAGTTGCTAAGCGCAAACGAGCGTGTGAAGAAGCATTGCGAAGGCTGGAAATAACTTGTGCACCTGACCATCATCATATCACGATCAAGTCGAATCGAATCCGCAATGGCAGCAAGCATCTTCGATGGGATTTTTTTAGAAGTCTTTGATTCAGATTCTGCCCAAAAAAGACGTTATGAATCGTTCCTGTGGGCCATAAATGTTAAAACATGAATTAACTTGTAAAAGTGTGTGCAAGGCTGAAGCCATGCTGAACTGATGTCGAGGAACGAACGTCCATTTTGCTAGTACTTGTCGAATATGCCCAGTGTGAGCCTGCAAATAGTCAAGATCAAACTCGTCGACTCAGACTTACATATCATTGAACATCTTACGTTTTCCTATTAAAGTTGCAGTGACTGAAACAGTGGAACGTGTATACAGCATGAATGAACTATCCGCTTGATTCATATGCAAACAGTTCAAGTAATCTTAACGGTAATTTGCCAACAAAAGTGCAAACTTTCAAATTTGCAATTGTTATGACAAACTTTATTTTGTCTTCGTGGAGAGCTTTCGATCGATGTATAATGTATAGGATGAAATTAAATAACATGTGCGGATGACCAGCTTCCAATTACATAAATTTCTACTTCTGACTAAATGGCGTGGGATCATAAAACGAAACAGAAATCTTCGAGCCTGACAGTGACATTACGTTGTACTCAGATAGAGCTTCCCAGATAGGTAAGCTGGTCATTGCAGTCAAGTAACTGATACCGATCTATTTGTCCGTGATACAGCTTCAAACTAGCTATCGCAGGACTGCACACTGACCTCCTGACCTCGTACGGTGGTCACAATTCAGATGTAAACAGAAATTTTCACAATGGTGACAGCAGCCTCTAACGTCATTCACACACGAAGAGTTTCCTTCCTATTGACGTATAATGCAATATCCTAGACTAAACCAAATATTAGATGTTAATGACTGCTGTAAGTTACAAATTGAGTTCATAGCGGCGATCACAGCAACATGCGTTGACAACACCCAGCGGGATCGGCAAAGATCATTGTGCTTTCGAAGGTAGTTCTCTTTTGAATATTCACCGTGTCTAAAAGCCAAACGGCAAAGTTTCTGCCACCGCTTCTTCTAGTCCTTAGGTAAAGCATATTGAAACCTTTACATCGTGTTTTGTACGTTCTGATATAAGTGAACGACTCATGGGCATGACAGGAGACGCATATAATCAGCGATATCAGGAAAATAAGCCATTTTTCTGTCACTTCAATGACAGACCTCTGGCAAATTCGACATATTTCATGCTGTCATCTCTTTGCAACGAAGATTATCGATTTTTATTTCGGTTTTAAATTGAATCTACATTTTTCGACGTCAAACAATTCTGTGTACGGTGCATATGCTTCGGTAGGCTGTAATTTTGAACCGTAATGCAAAAAATGTAAGGACTTGCCTGTCTGAATAAATGCCAACACGATGACCAAAATGGCGAGGCCGAAGTCCATGGTTAATCGGTGATGAGATGTATTGAATGGAGGGTAATCGCTTCGCAGAATACTTTGGACGATCGAACCTTTACTGACGTTTACGTAATAACACTCATTTCGAAGGTTTAAACTGGCTCATGACATATTCAGTTACACCCACTTTACACTGCAAGGCAACGGGCTGTGTGAAGAAATACGTCAGGTTTAAATCAGCCTTCGCACTGACATCGTACGGCGTAAACTGCTGTGGTGAAACGTCAGGTAAGAAACGTTTTTGCATACATTTACCTGCTGCTGTAAATTTAAATTACTTGTGCTGATTATTAAGCTAAATAGACAAGTGTCAGGTGGATCAATTCGGATTGGAGCCCGGCGAGGCGCTCGCATCAGACGGTTCGGTCATATCTTGCACGTTCAGGCATAACCACTGTATGCTGCTCCTGTTGCAGGCAATTCAACGTCCTGCCGTTGAAGCAAATGGAGAGAAATTCTTTGCTCCGGGGAATTAAGGGTGAGCAGAACTTTCTTTATGAAGATCCGTAGCCCGCACTTTCTGTGTTCGCAAGCTACCGACATTTGTTCAGGTCGACAAGGAGAAACGAATAGTTCGCCTGCCAACGTGAGGGATCATACAAAGATCCTATTTGTGACAGGCAGTATTCATTTTATCTACCTCGCGATGTTACTCGTCTCACGCTACCATCGCATTTTTGTACTGTTTGCAGTGTTTGGTGCCTTGAACCATGAATCGTTCAAATACTTCTCTTCACAACTATGGACCCAGAATCGAAAACCAAAGAAGCATTTAGTCCATTTTGTCTGTTGTCTGTAGTTTCCATCGTGGTAACGTAATCAGACGCTGTACAGGACTTGCCATACTAACTATACGGTTCCGTACCAACTTGTCAGATGAAAGTCCGTTGTAAAATACTCTGGATGAATTGTGAATGAGAGCCTTGGCTTAAAACCGCAGATGAATGCAATAGTTGGTAATTGCGGCGATGGGTTTTGGTGTTGTGCAGACTGAAAAGTTTCTATGTTGGTTCAGAAGTACTTAAAGACTTAATCAAATCCTCCATTTACCTCTCTTCCTCTACGTTGCACCGGTCTGCTTACGCAGTCTCCAAGGAAAGACAACAACTGACTCGCATTGGGAATCATTTCAAATTGCCTGTAGACATGCCAAATTGCTCTGTACAGTTCTATTCTAATCGACCCACCTCACTGGATGCACCAATTTTTCAAACATTAACTTTCGAAGCGGCCGAGCACAAGGTTTGTGAACGTTCCCTGCAGGCGCCTGACTAAAACCTATCGACGATACGTCGTTCCGTTCGCTGTCCGATGCCTAATCAGTCTCAAGAAAGAGCAGCTGTCATCTTGGACGAGGTCTTGATCAACCTGATATGGATTCACTTTCACTTTGGTTTTGTTCCTTAATACTTGTTCGTTGTTCTGTCTATAGTTTTGGCAACCTATCATGTCTCTTAGAGTTAACCTAAGTAAATTTGCCTGACTGAACTCTTGGCACTGTGCCATTGTTTCAAAAGCAACCAATGAAGTTTTAGTTCCGACCAATGCTAACTGCGGAATAATCCTGAATTAATAGCGACGAAAATATTCGAAACGTTCGGAGCTACAAATCTGAATCAGTAAATGAAACGTAATATTTAAGGGGCGGAATTGGAAAACTGCCATTTGTCGAGGTAGCTATCGCAGAACATCAGGGTCGTATGTCCCGTATTTTGTCTACGGAATACAGACATACTGTCTTGCATCTGAAAAACAGCAAGTGCTGGAATATCATGGAACGGTGGCCGAGGCCTGTTTAAATGTAATCCTGAGACTACGAGCACTGAGTTGCATTTTTGCTCTGTAAATCATGTATCGGTAATTGATACGCTCAGAGTTATATTTCGCGTATTTCTGTGCTGATTTAAAGCCACCTGTTTTACGTGGCCATGAGCATCTGCTTTTCCGTATAAGATAATCATTACTGTTCATTTCGTCGCCAGTTTCGATATTGTTGAAACTGCGCTGTACCGAACAGCTCGATAGTCTCAAATACGTTTTTAAGTTGTTGTTGCAATTCAATTTCGTTTTCTTGACTAGAAGGTTAGGTGGTCTGGGATCAGTTTCTATGCACCCTTCGCCAATATAATCTACTTTATGTTGTTAGTTTAGCGATTTTTCCTGACAGTCACACAGATAGAACACCCTGGCAACCCAAATCGTCCAATGTTACAAACTCCCAAGCTTCCTATGAAGAATTTCGTCGCTTAAACCAAGATACGGTGTTTTCTAAAAGGAACGTTCATCAAAGCATAGTTCCAGCCTCAGCGCTAATTCAGTGATGTAAAACAAGGTCATTTAAACTCTTTAGCGCGACGCATGCTTAGAATTATTCAGTTTTCTATGCAGTTCTGTACTGACGCTACGAATGGTTCTTCTTGTTAGACAAAAATATTTGCTCTGTATGATATAACATGCATATTCATTTTAGCTTTAGACTCCTATAATATTAAAACAATAAACTTTCATTCTGTGTATGCGTATGCACCCCGAGGATGTCATTGATGTCGGTGAACGAAGAGAGTCGATGAACAACAGAACAGAACCGTTCGTTATGGGCTATTACCTACATCTTTAAAGACTATTTGTTATAGAATTTTATTAACAGATTCATTCGCTCAGACCATTAACCGATTCATTCGTCTATTCAGTTATTCACTTCATCTGCATTGCATGCGGTGGACTGCGGCATCGTTTCGCATCTTAGAAGTTGACAGTTGCATTTCCAATGAAACTTAAGATTACCATATCACCTGCTAATTCTCTTGAGCAAGAATTTCACTCATTCTACTTCACTGTAACCGAACGCAGGTGTATAGTAAATCTTTGACCTTGAAGTAATACAGCGTTTCGCTGTGGTCATATGAAAGCGTCTGAGACCCACGGCCACGCACTTTCCAGCTACTGGCCGTCGCTGACGGATTTTACTATTAAACACAATTCGTTGCTCCAGTGATTCAATTTTTCGTACTTTCAATCAACTAATTTTTATGGCAGTTATGACAGAATTATACAACTTGCTGAAATATAGAAACAGAACATATCAACCGAAAAATAAACAACAACAAACAGAAAAACAAGGAACGTGAGGACTGCATAAATAAATTTATTTAAACTTAACAAGGGAAGGAAATTTTTAACAATTATAGTAGAAAAGGGAGGGAGCACTGTTAGAAGACTAAGTTGCATTCTGGTGCGCCTCAATGCTTCCTCTGGAGCAGTCTTCGTCACAGCCGTCTTTACTTGCCGTTGAGGCATCTTCAACGGACGGAATACTTTGGGTTGCGTCCAAGCTTTCTGCTGTGCTCGAAGCGTCTGCCTGCGCCTCACCAACGGAAGATGGGGCCTTGACACTGGCCACTGAATCAATCGCCTCTGCGCTGACTGAGTTTCGTGCCGCGTTAGAATCAGGAGACAACGTCGCACTGTCCATCGGCTCTGAAGAGTGTTCGACTTTCGCTTTCGCCTGCTCCATTTTTTCGATATACGCATGATAGCCGGTCAACAGCCTCTCTTCCTCCTTTCTGACCATCTTCTGATACGTTTCCTCATCAACTGCAGGCTTCTTAAGCTAAATTCAAATTAACCTTATAACGAAGTACACTGCCTTCATTCTGTACAACATAAAAATGTATCTATACAATTATGTAAACAATAACTCGCCTACAGGAAACACAGAATAACAAACTTTATTATAAATTTTACACAGATTTTAAT